GCAAACTCCACATAAGGATAAAAAACAAAAAAAAGATTTATCTGCTGAAGCTCGTCAGGCCTAATGTGAACTGGATCAACTTCGGACGAAAACACGGATCAACATCGGCAGGGCTTTTGAATCATGGAGAAACCTCCGCTTTGTTTTGGGTATAAAAACAGACCCAGAGTTGGGTCAGGTAAGCTAACATTACTACAAAGCATGTAAAATATATTTTGATTTTGTGCTTCAGTTGGCTCAAGTTAGATAGCGTTAGCTCACCGGCTAATGCCGAGCAGTTGCTAATGTTGTCCGGTGCAAAGTTATATTGCTTTCACATTACTTCATCAACTAATGCAACCCATGTTACTTTCCTCTGTACCACTGTTATGTCAAAGTGACAAAGCCTGCAAGAAAGGATGTAATGGTAAAAAGCTAATGTGGAAGAATTTGTTTACTATCCCATAGTGATGCAGCCACGAGCAGCCAGCTAACGCTACAGTAGCTCGGACCCGCTGCTGTTTGCTTTGTAGCGTTCAATTTAGATTTATTGCCTTTTACTGATACTCAGGTAGACAGCTTCTCTACCTCTCAGTCGCTGTAACTAACATGACCTATATAATATACAACCCAGAGGTAGAGCCATCCACTAACACTACAGTAAATTTACTGCTATAAAGTGTGACACAATCTCGTTATAATGTTCAGTCCAGCTCACTAACGTTAACAGTTTCATTATCATCCAAAACATGTAGCTGTGCTGAAATTGCTGAGCCTCCGGTGACAGATACATAGATAGTAATGACAGTTACTGAAAGCAGCAGGCGAGCTAACGATGTAGCACATCGGCTAAATGCAGTGTAACTTTATCATGTAATGAGCATGGATTAGTTCAACATCAAGCTGATAAAAATATTACTGTAATGTTATAGTGGGAGTTTACCTGAGTTTCCAGCATGTTGTGTGAAGCTGGCTCCCTACCTGTCTATAGCCGCTCTCACTTTTTTTGGGAGTACTGTGCCAATATGCCGGTGTCTCGCTGCGCTGAATGAAAGGTACGGCGCCGGTGTCGATACACCTCTGAGATGGGAACGTTGAAGTAACAGAGCCTGAACATGTCTGAGTGAAATGAAGTGCATGCTGGTGTTCCTGCGTTTATTGCAGGATTTCTGTATGAAAGCGGTTGTGTTTCGGATTCTGCTCGCTCATGAGTTCAAGCGAGCACACGTACAAGCACACGCCTGGTTGCAATCTTAAAACCGCACTGCTAGTGGCCGCTGGAAACTACATAATGCCCCTTTAAATAAAGAACATACCGCAGCCCTTCACCATGTCCATAGTTGTAATATAGCATGTTTCCACTATGGGAACTCGTAACCTGGAGCTTCCCCCGGCCTGAACTTTTAAGAACGTGTAAGGCAATGGTTCTTGGATATACATCTTTGAAAAAGCAACATCTTTTCAGATATGCCCCATTAAATTTCAGTCCAACTGTAAGTGGTCCCCATTCCTTCATTTTAACATTCAGAATCCATGAACACTTGCACTCTGATGACCCAAAAGCGACTGGATGATCAGCAACAGCCAGGCAATTTGATCATTTGAAATGAGGATGGAAAGACAAAAGTGGCCTGGCCTTGGTCCCATAAGGAATTACTCAAAGTTAAAATGAGACACTCAGACTTGGATTAATTGTTCTGTAGTGCTTCTACCAAGGGGGAAGCATGAAAAAAATCATCTAAAAACCACTTGGGGGCACTGTAGGTCCTTGCAAGCAAATAGCTGTGTCTTATTTGTGGCCATGGTACTCTCATAGTTCACTCATGTATAAATGCTAATGAAATACAATGACATTTCCTGATCCAGTGAATGTATCTGAAATAAGCCAGCATGAATATAGATGACATCAATACTGCTACTCAAAGGTTCATAAGGCTCATCTAATCACTCCTCTCATCGCTAAGAGGAAGCTGTTGCTATGTGACCATTTCAGGTGAATATTTGTGTAAGAAAAGAAATTTAATTTGCGTGAGACGTGCTTCATTATTTGTTTAGTTGTTGTTGTTGTTGTGGTGTGTGTGTGTGTGTGTGCGTGTGCGTGTGTGCGTGGTGAAAGGGAATATGTCTTTCTTCTTTAAGCATTGCAGCAGGAGTGATGCCACTTTAAATTGCCCCCGCAGGATACAGTAACTGTAAAAGCAAAGTTATAGAAGCCAAGGTTTCATTTGCACTGATGGAACAAACATCAAGGTTGAATAACCCGGCTTATTAAATACACAGTGTGCATGTCAAGAGGTAATGAAGATGGAATGAGAATGAAAAAAAGAGCCGCTCTAATGAAAGGACAAGAGGGTCTGCACCTTCCACCTCTTACTGAGGGCTGCAAGTTAATGCGTTAGTTCAACAAAATGAAGATGTCAAAATTCATCAGTTTTTAAGACAAACATTTCACCCTTTTATGTGAATCATAAAACCATGTGCTTTTGTTTTCACAAATCGTGTTTTTATAATAGAGGGAGTCAATTTTCTCTAAAGACAGAAATCTAATTCTGGAATTAGCTCTTTATCTGTCCCAGTGCTCTCAGGTAACAGCGTCCCTTGAAGACAGAAGATTAATGTTGTGATACAAGCACACGTGTACAAAGCTGAATAAAATGACTTGTGTGGATAACTAATTATACTTATCTCTAACAGGGGATCAGGATTCACTGAGGTAATTTCTGTTCAGACTCTCTGTATGCTTTGTGCTAGTGGGGGACATTATTCCTCCTCTGCTGGAGGAGGAATAATGTACAAGTGCATGTGCTAGGCTGTACTGGCCGTTCTTACCATCAATCACTAAGATGAAATCAAGTCACTAGCTGCCTGTGTTACCAGGGACACAATTTGAACACAAATGGATGGAAAAGCTCTGACTTACAAATACACACATTCGAAACACATGTGTGGACTGTTGGATTCCACAGTTATTTATTGAGAGAAGGAGAAAAAAGAGATGTTTGGATCAATAAATAGTACCACCCATTCTCTTAATATGTTTTGTGTGCATGTGCAAGATGATCCGATTGAGTGGGCGTGTGTGTGTGTGTGTGTGTGTGTGTGAGTCTTCTCTGGCTGCTCGTGTATGGATCTGAGCAGGTTATGGTGCAGGGATGTATTTGTCTTAGGCGTTAACCCACGCTTGTGAATACTGCAGTGACCTCCAACTGCCTCCTTCATGCAATAGACTGAAAATTGACATTCATGCATCTTTTCAAATCCCCTTCCCTTCGGCTTCCACCCCCCCCACTCAATTGCTTCCACACATTTTTGGCAAAGCGTGGCTCCTTTTCATAAAAACTCTGGACACAAATACCAAACTCAACCTCATAACATAAATCGCATTCAGGAGCAAACACTGCCTTCAAAACGTTACGTCTTCTCAAAATGAAATTTGCTCTTTAAATGACACACACACCAAATGAATAGAAACACTGTGGTGAGAGGAAAACACTGCTATGATAATGATCAGTAGGCCTTTTGCATTTTCAGTGTACTCTACATACTGTACGGACAGTAGCTTGTTGTAAACTGTTATGTTTTCATTCTCAAAACTAAAACACAAACACAAATTCAAGAATAGAATATTTTATTTACTCTGAAATACCATATATACAAAATAACAAACACAGTTGGATTTACATAGTTTTCTTCATACAGGAGAAACAATTTTGGCAGCATCCTGTCTTCTGTCCTCATCAACATCACAGGCACTGTTCGCCATGGCCAAGCAGCAGGAGAAATAACGCCTAGCACAGTGAATCCACCCCTGCATCTTCCATGGTTGTAGACCTTTCAATCTCCATCTTCCAAATCTCATGCATACATAAAACATATTTTCTGTTACTATGGTCCACTTGCAATACTGTACTACAGTTATCATCGAGTACTGTATTGAAATTCAGTAGATTTTTTTAACCTATTCTTATTTTGGAAAGTCTGGACGACGAATGCTACTGGGAACCTGTTCCAGTTTGGTTGGACTCTCGGCCCAGCCTCCCTCACTGTTAAACCACAGTTATTTCATCAGACAATATGTCTCTTCTCAGTCTTTCTCTTCCTCTTCCCCGTCCTCCTCTTCTTCCTTTCACTCCACTCACCTCTCTCTCCTATGTTGGCATATATTTGCTCCAAAACAGAAGAGCTCACCTGCGGCTCTTTTACATAAGTGAAGCAGTTGTTTTTTGTTTTTTTGCCGAGTTTTTAGGAGTGCAGATCGAAAAGTGACTTCAAAAAAAAAGTATGGAGAAAAAAGTTGTCTCAAACTACTGTGTCAGCAACATCACCTTTCCTCTCCTCCAAACCCTCCTCCTCCTCTCTCATCTATCACTCAAGGTAACATCAAAGCCTACTCACAGGGAGCCGTAGTTACACATCCTGTCCAGGCGATGAAACTCTATCAGGACTTTTGCTCACACACACACACACACACACCTATCTTCACCCGCTTTGCATACATGTATTTGAAAGGCTGTCCCTCTTCTGGCAACTTCTCCCCCTCTGGGGAGTAGACATTGGGCTCGTATTGATTTATTTATGTAAGAAAACTAGCACACCTTGATCTTTAACCCCTGACAAGGGAAAAACATACTTTCAGAGCCTGCACTGAGAGCCTCCCCACAGCACCTGTGAGCAAAGCAGATGGAGAAAAGGGGGGAGGGGGGGATGATGTGCCTGATTAAAGAGAACACAGAGAAAAATATGATATTTAAACACACTTTGAAGCCTCAAACTGGTAAATAAATGATGCGCTCAAGAAGACTGAAGAAATGTCTGCGGCTCCTACACCTGCGGTGCAATGCTTTAATATTAATTTCCTGTCATAGTCATGCACACACTTGAGTGCATGTATAGCTTATAAGTGTGTGTGTGTCTGTGTGTGTGTGTTAAAGATACATGTTGAGCTAGAAAAAAGCATGTGCTGGGCAATGTTGCTCACAAACTGCTGTCTGCAAGTGAAAGTGGAAGAGATGAGAAGAGAAGAGAGAGAACTCAGGATTTATTCTCCTTATCTACTCAAACAACCTCCTCATCAATGGACAGCACAGCACAGAAGAAACAAAAGCCCTCCCTGCTTTTCATCCACTCTCTTACTACTCTTTTATTCCTGCAGCGCTCATAATGGCGCTGAGATTAGTGCTGGACGTGTTCACTAAACTTCTTGCTTGGCAGGAAAGCAGGGTGAGAAGATTCCTGTTTGGGAGAAAAATGAAAAAAGAGAATTTTCAATGTGGATGTTTAGAAGATGAAAGGGGAGCTAATTCAGTGAGGACTTTCAACAACATTTTAGTATAACCTAAAGTAATAAGTATGTCATTGTGCTCAATTGCACACATTGAGAAACATACACACTGTTGGCAGCAGATGTTCCCACTTGACTCCGGCCAAACAGAGCATTAAAAACATGTAATGGGTACGTTTTGATGATTACTGACATTGGATTTAAATGTAATTTTTTTCATTGTTCTGTGAAAGCAATATATGATACCCAAAATGGCACAAATCAACCTGACGCAGAAAGTCTGACTCATTTCCACGCAGTTTAAAAATAACTTTTTGACCACAGTTTAGCTCAAAGAACTTCTCCATTCCACTCTTCATCACTGTCTGCTGATTAATCATTGCATCTGACTGCTCATTAGACCATCTCTTTTGAAACTTCTTGACCTTGTATCGACTTTTATCCCCTCTCATCTCTTCATTTCATTTTTCTTTCTCCGATCTGCCTCTCTCCACCATCTCTTCATTTCCAGGAAGCGCATGTTTCAGACAGTCCTTCAGGGACTTTTCGCTTCCGTCAGCCTGAGTACAGATATTTCACCACCGTGATTTCAGAGTAATTACACAGGGATAAATGATGACTCTCGCTGAATGCAATTCTCCCCTCTTTCTGTCAACCCATCAGGAACAGGACCTGGGGCAAAGCAATCACTCACTAGTACTCTGCAGAAGGAAGTTAGAATCTCCCAAAAGTTTACAAGTAAAAAGACAAAAATGTTTTTTGTTTTTTTTCTTGATTTCAGAGTAATTACATAAGAATACCTCTCCCTGAATGCATCCCCGCTTCTTTCTGTCAAGCCGACAGGAACAGGGCCTGGGGCACAGCAATCACTCGCTTGTGCTTTGCAGGAGGGAGTTACAATTCTTAAAATGTTTACACATTCTATTTTTTTTTTTTTTACTTTTTGTATCTTTATTTCTACAGGGGCTTTGGCTTTGCATGCATGCTATTTTTCCAGCATGATACTGTGTCAGATTCATACAGTTATATAGATTCCCACCAGGGAGTTGCCATGGGCAACTGCATTTAGCTGTTTTTCACTGAGCAGTTCCATAGAACAACTGGGGGATTGCTCATAGGTACTTCAATAATAGCTGTAGAGAGAGCTCATTTATACCTGACCCAGATTTCCTCACCTGCTCCTCGGTTTCAGTCCTGGTGTCTTGTACTCAAAGTACACTTTTATAAGCTTTAGGGTACTAATCATAATTTCAGAGGTTCTGTCTCTATAAAAATAATTTCCTAATCAAATCAGGTGTGTATTAGTGTGTACAACCAAAGAATATCAATTGAAGGGCTTCCACACCAGCCTTTTGGCTTGAAATTACCTTTTTGTGATTCCTGTCACCTTTACAGAGTGCCTTTTGTTCTTGAAGTCCAAGGGCTATGTGAAGTACATCAGTGAAGAGCATCAAAATCCAACCTGATCTTGTGTTTGATATCCAGCAGGTTAACAAAAACAACTTGAGATTCTGGGCAGGTATTGAGCATCTGTGAGTGATGTATTTGGTCCATGGTAGGTAAAGGTCCTGTGAGGGAACACACAATGAATTCAGAAAACAAATAACAGGTGCTTTGTAACATCTCCTCTCAGGGACACATCCAAGCTCACCGGGGATTGAAACCCACTGCTGCCCCAGCAGAAGGCCTCACACCAGGGCCTTGATTTAATCACTGCCCAGCAAGGGGAGAGGCCAAGCAGGCAACAAAGCTGCCCTCCAGCCTCCCATCCTCCTGCCATCAATGCTCCCTGTAGGTTGACCCAGGAGAGGCCATCCCTCACCCTCCACGCGGGTCGTTTGAAGATGAGAGAAAGTGGGTGTCAGGGGAGGGACGGCCAAGAGGAGGAGAGGTAGATGAAACCCCGGTTGTTCTCTTTGAACTGCTAATCACTGTGTTTAAAGCTGACCTCGCTTCCTGTCTCTCTTTTGGTGTTTGGCTCATTAAAATATGTACTCTGATAAAGGGTCCAGATGGGAGTTCACAGTGAACCACTATTCCTCCCTCAGTTCCAGTCAAACATGTACACCTCATTTTCTCCCTCAAAAATAATCTTTTTGGGTATTATTGTGGATACACTGGGATTTACCAATCAGTATTCAGGGTGGTCAGGGACATGTAGTGTGGGCAGAAATGCATCCCTGACTGCACTGAAAGACTGCCTATGGACTTTGCAGCATCAAGTCGGTACTGTTATAGCCGCTGCAATCGTTTTCTATAATAGTATGGCCAGACACAAATATTTATGTATCTTTTTCTGCAGTTAAAATTTAAACAGGGATGTAAAAACTAAAAGTGGTCTCACAAGTTGGACTATATCTGGTCTGAACCAGCTCAATCCAGTTTGTGTGTCCGCACTAGCATTTTCAGGTTTCAAGAGCTCAATCGACACTGAAATGTTAAAATTATGGGAGAGTTGACAAAACTCTTCGTCTTCCAGAAGTATCAGTAAGCAGACAAATTGTGCGTCACAACCACTGCCCTGTTACTAAGCTCAGCTGGTTAACCTCTTGTCTTTGCCGCCCGGCTCTCCATGGTCACTTATATGTTTCATTGTGAACTAACAAGTTAGTTGTTCTCATTTAAATATTTTTTTTTTTTCTGTGTGATTGGCTACACTGACATGTATAATAGGTAGGGCTCTCAAACGATTAATTTTTTATCACATTAAAATTCAAAATTATTATTCAATTATTATATAGTATTATTATATATCTTAACTGTTTTAAGTCTGTATTAACAATGACAACAATTACAAAGAAAGTTAGTTTTGGAACTTGACTTTAAGATTTATTTGATTATTTCAAATCAAAAGATGTGCAACGAGACTGAGGTAAAACAATCAATGTAAACGTACAGTGTTCCTTAAGCTTGCTTTCAAAAATTCTACCGTAAAAGTGCATCTACAAAATGTACACACATTATTATGAAGTGCATAACAAACAACATACTCCATTGCTACTTATTTTTGATTCAGTTGAAACCAATGAGACAGCACTTGCTTTAAGAAGGAGTTTCAGTTTCACTGCTTTCTCCGTTTCATACAGGCTATGTATGCGTGCAACAATTGTCCCCCACGACGACAATGTATAGTGCTTTGCCTCAGTCCGCTAGCCTCAACCTGATTTGCTGTACTAGCTGTATGCTTAGCTCGTTGATGGTAACATTAGCTTTAGCTCGAAGTGCTTTGATGATATTTTAATTCCATTTCACGCAAGGTGCATACTGCTTTTGACTTGTCAATGTGCCGTCTGGGACTGTGTTGTTGTTCATCTCCATGGCTGCAGCAGGAGGTAGGAAGTGTCTCTGGCAGCATGACAACAAGTAAGGGTGCATCGAAGTCTCAAAATAGTAGCAGCGACAGCACCAGTGACGGTGTAAAATAAGAATATCTGACACACGCGATTAACACAATTAAAACGCGTTATGATCAGTACTTAATCTCATTGTGATTAACTTGTTAATGCTGACAGCCCTAATAATAAGTGATCACAGAGAAAGTTTGTGATGACACATTGTTGTCTGACGTCATTTCCAAAAAGTAGCTGTCTTAATGTGGATGTGGTCTGAGATGCATTGTCATTCCAGGTGTGAACTGTCCAGTCCATGTCTGCTATATCTTGATCTAATTTAAATACATTTGCACTGAGGATACTAGGCCTACACAAGTCCATGGGGACTGCAAGGAGACAGAAGGTGGGGCATGGAAGGAGGGCATGATGAGACAGAGGAGAGAAGGAGAGCAGGGTAGCAGGGGATCAATCAATCATCGCTCCTGTTGGTTCATATTGACTCTGCAGTCCCACTGGGCTACCATGGTCAATGTTCTTTCAGGCATTTTGCGTGGGTCGATGAAGAAGCGTGCCTGGCTTAACACTCACCTTTTATAGGGATACGTGCGTGTGTGTTTGTGTAATATATTAGATGTTTTTATGTGGAGTGTATTGACAGGTTTTCATAAATGTATTTCATGTGGAAAGTGTGGCCATTTGTGTATTATAAGTGAATACATGTTTTAGAAATTACACATAAATCTGAAGTATCAATAAGTAAGTAAAGCATCCACATAACCTTGCTACCGAGCTGCATTGTGCCCAGTGGCAGCCTCCCAAAAACCAACAGCATCAAGGCTGGCTTTAGCCCATCGACTGTGCTTGGCATTCATTGTGCCACATAAATGGCTGAGGAAAAACTGTCTACCCCACATGGTACAAAAATCTGTGTAGGCTACAGTGATGTCAATCTACAACAATGACTCAGTCATTCAGTCAGTTTGAACTACAATGATTGCAAAGATTAAAATAAAGATTTATTGTTCCATGTGGCTTGATCAGTTAATTGGATGTCAGCAGATTTAATGAACAGGGCCTTCATTTTTTTAGCCATGATGGCAACACTTTTTTCAAATGAGTCAAATGATGCATATTGCCTAAATTATGGTCATAGTTGTAATGGCTTGTGTCTTTTTTGTGTTTTCAAGAAGGGGTGGGTAATATGGATAAAATCTTTTATCATGGTATAAATAAATTAATATTGAGATATTGATATATATATTGTGGTACAGTCTGTTTTCTGTAAATTCAACCGAGAAACCATTTGTAAATAAAATAATGGGAAGGTATTGTCATTTTTGGGGTAATCCAATGAAATACATAAATGTATGCCAAATCTGGGTTATCATACAATATAAAAAATCCCCATCCTTCCATCTCCTAGGTGATTACACAGGTTTAATTAGTGGCTAATTGTGTTACAGGGGTGTGTAATAGTAGGATATATTGTGTAATTACAGTATTTGATTTTCATGTACGAGTGTATATGCATGTTTGCATGAAATCCACAGTATTTGTTATTTGTAGAAATTGCTTGTAAGACTGCTATTTTTTTTTTAACCCATCTGGTCATCAATCATCTAAATGATGTGATGCCATGAGCATGTACAGACAGGCCAGTGATGGATGATTGACAATTGATGATTACCTGAGGTGAGGGGTGGTTCCGGTCCCAAGGGTAAACCTCTCTGGGGCTTTTACCTTGCTGGTTCAGATTGCAGGATGACTTGAGATGGACTGAGAGGAAAATAAATGTATACTTAATAAATCAAAATCAGCTGTCAAAAATGATCAACTGTGTCCATCACTATTGACTAGATACATTTGCAAACAACAACAACATTCATGGCTTTTATTCGGTCACATTATTAACTGTTAAATCTTACAGAGCATGTGGCAGTTCAGTCTTGATGTAGAAGTTAGAAACCATTCTCAACCACAGTATGGTATGATAATGCATATTTCTTCATTCTGAAAAGCCAAATACATCTTAAAAGGATATTAGCAGGGTACTGAGAAAAGGTGGTTACCTACTATTTGTATCTGAAGTTCTGTGCACCCATGAATTGGACAAAACTGACAGCCTTTGCACAATGTTCACAGTAGGTTTTCTCACATTTTAACTGAAAGCTAATTGAACACATTTTAGAGTCACTATGAATGCTGAACTTACAATGGTAAATTTATTTTCACACTGCCATTAAAACCACATTTTTGTTTTCACAGTACTCTGTCGTTAAGGTAGATTTAAGACAAATATTTACTAAAAATGTGAAGAGCATAAGTACTTAAAAGATTTGCCTATATTACCTTGATTTTCCCAAAAGAAGGACCTTTACAGCTTTGATTTACTGTTAACACCGTCAGTCCTTTCAGAGCCCAGACAATCAATTTTAAAATGACAAAATGTCTTCAGTTCACAAAATCAAAAGCCAGCAGTGCAGCAAATGTTTGTAGGAAGTGGCACACTTGAGACGGGCAGACTGGAGGGTTGGTTTTTATGTTCATACTCTGTAATGTGTGATTTTTTCACCACCCAATTTGCTGAGCATCTCTGACACCGTGACCCTTCTTTTATTAAGAGTCTGAGCAGTGTAAGAGGGGACAACGTTTCTTTGAGCTGGCAGGTCCACTCAATAGACTCAAGGTGATAAAACCAGTTTGAGAGAAAGGCTGAAAACAAGGCGAGAGCTGGATTGAGTTGAGTTGAGCAGTAGCGGGTGGACTGGCCAAAAAAGGCTTTCTATCTGACAGGTTATTGATTTTCTAAAAGTTCTCAAAGGGATCCTGGAAGACCTGAGCGGATCTACTCACTCAAGCGACCTCTCCTCTCCAATCTCGCCCTTCTTCCAATTTCCTCTCAACACTTGACATTGTTTGAAATCTTGGTGACATCTGAGATTCTTATAAGTGGTATTAACAAGAATAACAAACTGGCACTGTAAGACAACACAGTTTTCTGCTAATACATCTCAATATTATTTACAATATTAAGGGGCTGTGCAGCAACAATTTTGTAACAGTTTAATACTGACCAATAAGGTACTTCTAATGTGTGCCTCCAATACATCATAATGACACTAGACAAAACTATTGTCCTCTGCATATGGAAGTGCACATGAACCATGGCACATGTGAAAGTTGTAACTACCCTCCCCTACTTTCCCAAAAAGTCAGACTACCCTGACTACCCTACCAAATGGTGAATTATATTTAACCTTTTTGGGTGTGTCTTTGTTGTGCCCTTAAAAAGGGGAAAAGTAACGGGAGAAGGTTGAAGAAGCACACACACGCAGCTCACGCCTTCACTCGTCTGTATTGAACCACCTTTTTTACAATCTATACAAAAATATTCACGCACTCAGATTCAGGACCACAGTCACAAGTATCTTCTTAATGCATTCTAAATGATCTTTTTAAATAAATTACCTTATGAAATGTGAATTGTTTTAACCAAAGTTATCAAATTACATTTTAATACTCCCTTTTAACTGAGTTCTCATATAACACTTAAATGAATTGTACTTTTAACATTATTCATTGTCTCAGCATGACATGAACTCACCCTTATAGTAATAAATATACAAGAAACCTTACAGCAAAAATATGTGGACTAACAGCAGCTAGCTTAAACACCAACGACAAAGTAAACACTTGTGTATGGCGGGACTCGGACATGATGGAGCCATGAGGTCGCTGGTTGATAGCATTCACATCTTCTCAGTTAGCACCAAACTCTTCAAACAACATACACGTCTCTCAAAAACATCTCTTTAACTCATATAACACCACAGTAATGTAACGAAGTGTCCTTTCAACATGTGTTTAGGTTTACAGCGCTATGTCAGTGGCAATTACCTTAAAAAGGGGAAAAATAACGGGAGAAGGGTTGAAGAAACACACACGCCGCTCTCGCCTTCACTCATCTGTATTGAATGAGGAAGAGAAGGGCAATCCCCCTACTGGAGCCCCGAGGCATTACCAACACATCGACAAGCAATTAACCCACACAGACAAGGATCAGCATTATCTGCATTCCACTTCTTAATATTATTCGCTGTATAGTTTTAAACAGTCACCAACTTCATATAACTCTATTATAAACATTAGCTATTATAAATGAAATGAAATTACATGTCCCAAAAATGAAATACTGTAGTACTGGAATAAACTTCAAAAGGAGATTAACCTTTCAAACAGATTACTTGGTATCAAAATAAGATATGAATGGAATCCTCAATGAAATGATCAAATACTCAGACCATAAAATCAGATTGGCTATACTAAAACTATTCAATACTATTCTATCAACTGGGACTTTTCCAGACATCTGGAACAAAGGTTTAATAACCCTAATTCATAAATCCGGAGATAAATATGACCCAAATAACTACAGAGGAATATTTGTATCCAATAACCTGGGAAAAATATTCTGCAACATCATTAATAAATGACTTGTCAACTTTCTTGATGACCACAATATTCTGCATAAATTTAAAAAACGGATCATATATTTACCCTCCAGACTCTAATTGATCAAGAATCAAACATTAAGAAAAGAAAGGTATACGCCTGTTTTGCTGACTTCCAAAAAGCCTTTGATTCCATCTGGCACGAGGGCCTTTTCTATAGGCTACTTGAAAGTGGCATTGGAGGAAAAACATATGATTTGATTAAGAACATGTATACAAAAAGTGAATTTGCGATAAAGATTGGAAACAAACAAACATCGAGTGAGGCAGGGATGCAATCTCAGTCCAATTCTCTTCAATCTATATATCAATGAATTAGCGAACCAATTAGACAGTTCCACAGCACCTGGCCTCATCCTGAACGCCACAGAGAGGTCTGCTGTATGCAGGTGACTTAGTGTTGCTTTCACCTACTAAAGAAGGTTTGCAGCAGCACCTTAATCTCCTGCAGAGATTCTGTCAGACCTGGGCCCTAACAGTAAACACAGCAGAGACTAAGATAATGATCTTTCAGAAACAATATAGAAATCAGGTTACACACAATTTCTATTTAGATGAATTTGACAAATCAAACAAAACAATCATAGAATCTTTCCATACCGAGTTCTGTAAGAGCATCCTGCAGGTGCAGAGAAAAACACCAAATAACCTGTGCAGAGCAGAGCTCGGCCAGTACCCCCCCTTACTAAAAATACAGAAAAGATCAATTAAATTTTACAATCACTTAAAATCTGTTAACCCCCAGACATACCATCACAAAGCCCTAACATACCAGGAGCGGAAACCAGATAAGAGTCCCCTCAGCCAGCTGGGCCTGGGGCTCTCTGCAGTAACAAGTCCCCAACAGCCTCAGGATAGCAACACCGACTCAAGCAGACCAAACCACAAAAAATATATTGAATACTGGAAAGAAACAACCAAACCAAAAGTAAATTACAATGTTATCTGGGCGGCTGTGGCTCAGGAGGAAGAGCGGGTTGGCCGTTAATCGGCGGTTCAATCCCCGGCTCCCCCGGGCTGCATGTCGAAGTGTCCTTGGGCAAGATACTGAACCCCGAATTGCCCCTGGCGGCTGTTCCGCCAGTGTATAAATGTGTGTGAATGTCAGTTTCTGTTTGAGCACTTAGGCTCAGTGTATGAATGTGTTTGACTGGTGAATGCTGATGTAGCGTAAAAGCGCTTTGAGTGGTCGGAAAGGCGCTACACAAATACGGAGCATTTACATTCTAAAAAGAGAATTCACACTGGCAAATTACCTGAGCACAATAAAATATCCTAAAACACCTAAAAAAGGTTGACAACATACAGACGAGTGAACACATATAAAATGGTCGCCACAGACAGAACTGGCTACCACAAGAGGAGAGACTCTGCTCACAGTGTGACACAGGATAGGTAGAGACTGCACTTTCTAACCTCATGCCCTAAATATAAAATACTAAGACAAAAACACTTTGCAAACATTTCCCAAATATACTCCAAATTCAAATTTTTATCAGACACACGGAAACTCCCCTATTTACTGGGAGAAATGCCCAAATGTGCTGCAAAATATGTCTGCTCATGCCATGAAGTGAAGACAACCAGTGGAAACTCAGACTGATAAATAATTGTACAACTTTTCAAATTATTATTATTTTGATTGTTTGATATTTCAGTAATTGTTTTGTTTTTACATTTGATACCGATTTATTTGTATTTATTATTATTATTATTGTTGTTGTTGTTGTTGTTGTTGTTTTAATCAATTAATTATTTCTTTAAATTTTTTGTCTATTAATACACACACACACACACACACATGTTTATGGTATTATCTATTTTAATTATTTAAATTTGTTATATATTTTTATTTTTTTAACACACACACACACACACACTTACTGTTTTATTTATTTTATTTTTAATATCTTTTATTTTTTTAACACACACACACAAACACACATACGCTTTAATTACTTGATGCTGTAATTACTTGTTTAATGAAATGTATGGGGTTGATTGTTCTTATGTACTTTGTATGATGCTTTGGCAATATTGTTGTTATACATTCATGCCATCCATCTATCCATCCATCGTCAACCGCTTATCCTGCGTACAGGGTCGCGGGGGGGCTGGAGCCAATCCCAGCTGACATCGGGCGCAAGGCAGGGTACACCCTGGACAGGTCGCCAGTCCATCGCAGGGCACATTCATGCCAATAAAGCTAATTTGAATTGAATTGAACTGAGAAGCGCGATCCCCGTACTGGGGCCCTGAGGCATTACCAAAACATCGACAAGCAATTAACCCACACAGACAAGGATCAGCATTATCTGCATTCCACTTCTTAATATTATTCCCAGTATAGTTTTAAACAGTCACCAACTTCATATAACTCTATTATAAACATTAGCTATTATAAATGAAATGAAATTACATGTCCCAAAAATGAAATACTGTAATACTGGAATAAACTTCAAAAGGAGATTAACCTTTCAAATAGATTACTTGGTACTACTACTTGTCACATCTTCAAGTTCTGTTTAGATCTCGGTGTATTTTGAATAGCATGTACACAGTCATTAGATAGGAAAGGCTTGTGTAATTTCAAAGCTCGAAGGCTGCTGAGTGTGGCATCTGAAAAGATTGATGAGAATGACCATTGTTGACCTTTAGGATTTTGACAGAGTCATGAAACTTAATTTTAGAAGAACAGATATGATTCTAAACTGACACAAGCTATAGTTTGTCTTCATAGTGATGACTTAATAAGCTATTTGTAAAACATACATACAAACGTATACAATGAATTCCTGTTAAAATGCATTAACGCATGCATGTAAATGGGCAACAGTACAGACACACTGTACATGCTGTGAGTCCTTTACAATTCTATTATAATGTTTCCTGCAGTCCCCATTGCATTTTCATATATCCATTTTCCTCATGAGATATTTCAATTAATCTGGCAACAACATAATTATAGATGTGTTAGTGCGTGTTTTTGTGTGTAAGCATGCACACTGTATATTTTAAATTTTTTTAAATTAGAAACAGCAAGAAATTAAGTTTTAAGTTGATTGGCTTTTCATTTTATGTTTGAAAGGGGCTATATGTAGTTTTCCGTTGCCACTTGTGGTGCGGTTTTTAGATTGTAACTTTGTGTGTGTTTGTACGCATGTTCAAACTCATGAGCGAGCAAAATCCACTATTGAGCTTCACACAAAGTGCAGGAAACGCAGGTAAACTACCACTGCAACATTACAGTAATATTTTTATCAGCTCGAGGTTGGGTTAAACTAGTCCATGCTCCTTATATGATTGCATTTAGCCGCGTCATCAGTGTTAACTCCCTGCTCGCTGCTTTTAAATAACTATTTGTGTATCTTTCATCAGAGAGGCTCAGCAGCGTCAGCATAATTAAATGTATTAGCAAAATATTAATTTTTATAAATTTTATAAAGATTGTTGCCCCACTTTATAACAGTTTAGACCGCAGTAAGTAATGTTACTGTAGTGAATGGGTCTTCCACTGTGGAGTCCTGCGCCGTTAAGGCTCGTGTAGACTCCACGACTTTCAGCATCTGCTGTTGTACTGACTACACAACTTGTCGTCTTTGTCGTTGTGGCATTCACCCTACGTGAATGATCGGTGAAGGAGGGGAGGTCACACACTACAGGAGCAGACAACAGCTCTGTCACCCAACGCTGGTTTCCAAACCACGTTTAGACGTTTTGTCTAGAAACCACGTGTGAAATGTGAAACGGGAAATGAGCGATCCTGAACACGAAACAGCTGTTGTCTGTTATTATAAATATAGCAATTATAAAGACAAAGACTGTGGCTGAAAGAATGGATTAGCACAAGCAGGTAGCAGGGATCGTCTGAGCTACAGAGAGAGCAGGAGGTGAGTAAAAAGTGTTTTGCGGTTAAAAACTAGCTGCCTGCTCTGCCAGCTGCCTGCTCTCATTGGCTGGATGTGGATGTCAAGTCGGCTGACTTCTCCAGATATTTGGCATGCTAGATATCTGGCAGACGTCGGCGATGTGGCAGTGATGTGTCGTGGAGCCGTTTTGATGCATCGTTGAGTAGTTCACACATAATGACTGCTGAACTGCTGAACGCAGATCAACAGCTGATTTGCCGAGGGGCAAATCGGGCTAAAAATCATGTAGTGTGAACTAGGCTTTACGTTGCATTGTTGTATATTATGTTGGATTTACAGTGACTGAGATGGTGGTGAAGCTGTTTACCTAAGTATCTGTAAAACAACAATAAATCTAAATTGAAGTGGCAATTTTTTGGTTTTAGAGAACGCCATCTCGCTAGCTGTTATATCTTCTATCTATATGTTATATCTTATGTGAGATTACAACCCCTTCACACACAGGCCTGGAATCTGACCCATTTCATAATTCAGATCTGACCACGACGTGAAAGTGACCCGCATGCGCAAAAGAGAATTGTGACGACAGCTGCTCTAGAGTGAGGTC